GATTGGGAGGGAGGAAGACAGGAGGGGAGGAAGAAAGAAAGGGAGGGAGGGAGGGAGGGAAGGAGAAAAGAAAGGGAGGGAGAAAAGGAAGGGAGGGAGGGGGGAAGAAATGGAGGAAGAAAAGAAAGGAAGGGAGGGAGAAAAGAAAGGGAGGGAGAAAAGGAAGGAAGGATTGGGAGGGAGGGAGGGAGGAAGAAAAGAAAGGGAGGGAGGGAGAAAAGGGAGGGAGGAAGAAAAGGGAGGGGGGAAGAAAAGGGAGGGAGAAAAGGAAGGAAGGATTGGGAGGGAGGGAGCAAAAGAGTGCCCAATGCAGCTGGAGTGGAAGCCTGGAGCTGTTTCTTCAGCCAAATTGTTTTTCCCACCAGGATCCTTCACTGACTCAACATTTCCACCTGCAATTGGGGTGGGCAGCCTTAGCCACTGAAATGACCAATCAATCAATCAATCAATAAATTCCGAATCTGTAAAAAAAGCATCTCTTGTGGTTTCCCGTTTCCTCGCATTTTCCCCTCCTCTCCTTTCCGTGTCCCCTTCCTTGCGTCCTGGCTTGATTTCCCACCTTCCCAGGCAACCTGCTGGGGGACGTGATCCAGGCTGCCGTGAAGCCCGAGGCGCTGAGGTTACTCACCAACCTCCCCCAAGGCAGCGCAGAAACGGAACTGATGAACGTTGTCCCGGTGTTTTATGTGTATGATTACCTGGAAAGGTCCAACGCCTGGGAGATCTTTGGCTCGGGCAGAACCAGCGCGGAAATTACCATGTTGAGGAAGATGAAGAGAGGTAAGGTAGCATCTTTGGAGCTGTGAACTGGGCTGGCATCTGTCAGAAATGGTATAGGGTCTCCTGCTTGGGGGGGGGGGGGTTGGACTAGATGACCTACAAGGTCCCTTGCTATTCTATTCTATTCTATTCTATTCTATTCTATTCTATTCTATTCTATTCTATTCTATTCTATTCTATTCTATTCTATTCTTCTGCATTCTGTTCTGTTATTCTATTCTATTCTATTCTATTCTATTCTATTCTATTCTATTCTATTCTATTCTACTCTACTCTACTCTACTCTACTCTACTCTACTCTACTCTACTCTACTCCACTCCACTCCACTCCACTCCACTCTACTCTACTCTATTCTATCCTGTTATAGATAGAATTGTCTGTCAGACGCTCACAAATCTTTTATCGAAGGATGAAACTTTGCATTAAGGCTTGCTAGATTTTTGATTGATAGACAACAGAATTCCACATCTTTTGACGTCATATAGCATTTTTAGTAAACAGAGAGGGGAAAGTTTATAACGACTTGTAGATTTGTTATGCAAGGGTGGAAAACACATCAGATAGTTGAGGGTTTTTTTTTTCAGCATCCAATCAGGGTGGACATTTTATGTTCAATGTTAATGGTAATAATAATGCCTCTATAAGCTATAAAGGGAAGTTTGCCTTTTAAGATATGAATGGAGAAGAAGTGGTTTTTTAAAAATTTATTTTATTTCTCAGGAATCATCAGCGTTCTGTCTTTTCAAACACAAAATTACTCTTACAGCATGTGGAAGGATGGCGAAGCCAGCACCTGGTAAGTAAAAGGTGTCTTAAGAGGCAGATACTTCCAGAATGGATCAGATTAGATCACATAAAACAGGGAAGACATCCAGAAAATAAATACAATCCTATTAAATCTGCCTTTGTGTGTCTGTCTGTCTGTCTCTCTCTCTCTCTCTCTGTGTGCACTTTCAACTTCCTTTCTTTCCTGTTTGTTCTTGGATGTCTTGAAAGCTCTCTCCAAACCTATGGGAGAAACTCAATTTTTTTATCTTTTGTTACCGGCAGGATTACAGCATTTATCCTAAAAGTTTTTGGACAAGTTCGGCGATATATGCCTGATCAGTTTGGCACGGCGTGTAAGTCTCTGACTTGGTTGGTTGACATCTGTCAAATGGATGACGGATCTTTCAGGGAAGCCTCAGATTACAAGCCAGTAGCCCTTCAGGTATGGACGTGGACCACGGGTAAGAATTGAAACCCAACTCAGATTTATCGATCGGGTCGCTGATCTTTCATTTGAAGAAAGAGGAGACAGCGTTCGATCTCCTTTCCTTCATGCAGGAAATAGGGCCATCTAGATCAAACGATAGGCCAGATGTTCTGGGATGGAAACCACTTCTCCTATCAACAGGGTTTTGTGAAAAAAATCGGATGGAGAACATTTCCATGGCTTTGGGATGAGAGAATAGTTGGGTGGCGTTTTCAAGGATGGGTTGGTTACGTCCGAAGGAGGTAGAGTTTTGCCGTGGCCGTTCTTTGTAAGGATGATGGATGCAGATTAATTTCTATAACTTGATGTACGAAGGGAACTAAGAATCGAGAGAGCGACATTTTAACACTTCTTTGTTGCTTTCCAAAGGGCACATTACGTGATCAGCAGAAAGAAAACAGTCTGTACCTAACAGCCTTCACCTTGATGGCCTTTTCAGACTATAAAAAAGCCTGTCCATTGCAGGTAGGTCTGTCTGCTTTCCATTGTTAGCGACATCGCTGCTGCCATGTGGTTACCCCGGTCAATTCTCCGTAGGTTTTTGATGGAGCTTTATACTCTGATTGTTAGGACGTAAGCGTGGGCAGCCCTGCTTGGGCTTGACCCGTGCGTTGACAAGCAGATGGTGACAGCCGTTAGACTATTGAATTCCGATTAAAGATGGAAGCATAGGAGAAGGAACGGCAGAACCTGGAGGGGTGGAGTTAAAAGAGGAATCAGCCTAGAATTGCTACATAGCCACAAGCAAATTTAGTCCAATCTCTCTTGAGTTCTGCTGCCCCTTATTTAAGAAGATTCCTGTACATAGCCTTTTAGCAATAGAGTGGTTTAGTTGAACCTTCACGTAGGGACCTGATCTTTCTCGCTTGACGGAGGAACGTGACACCATTTCTTTTACTGAGACTACTGTGTTATCTATGCGAGGGGCTGTTTTTCAAGATAATAGCGGGGGGACAGAACCCACACATGCCATTGCCTGAAGACCTTTGGGAGAAAGATGGCAGGAAGTGACAAACCGACATGCCACCAAGCAAAATATAAACCCTTTTGCCTGTTCCTTTACAGAAATTTGCAGACGCTGAAAACCGAGCGGTCAATTATTTGTTGCAAAACATTGCAAGCTCGCAAAACACCTTTGTCTTGGCCATCGTGACTTACGCTCTAACTCAAGAAAAGGTCAATCACCCTGACCTTCATTCGGCCTACCTTCGCTTGAAGAACGAAGCTCAGGTGAAAGGTAAAATCCAGTCCTCTTTATACCAAACCAGTTCAGCCACGTGATGATGTGGTTCATCTTTATAATCACCAGCGGCCTTTCATCCTTCGGATCAGGCTGGCCTCTCCAACTACCATAAGTAGCAAGGAGGACATCTTCTCGTTGGTCCTTTGGTTCCTTGGCTAGACTCAGAGGTGAGAAGGCTCTCCCTTCCCCTGCGTGACGTTCTACCTCTCTTGTTTCCCATTTACAGGGAACCCCCCAATCTACCGTTTCTGGAAAGAGACCCCTGTCAAATTCGATGCAAGCATTCCTTCTAAGGGCAACGCCAAGATGGTTGAAACCACTGCCTATGCCTTGCTGTCCATTTTGCAGAAAGGAGATCACAATTACGTCAAACCGGTCATGAAATGGTTGACCGAAGAGCAGAGATTTGGGGGTGGATTTTACTCGACCCAGGTATCAGCTCTCCTGCTCCCACTTTCTCCAGGTCATTTGTAGGAATCTTGAGCATCCTAGAACCTTAGATAATCTCCTACATCTTCCAAGTCATTTGTATGAATCTTGAGCATCCTAGAACCTTAGATAATCTCCTACATCCTCCAGGTCATTTGTAGGAATCTTGAGCATCCTAGAACCTTAGACAATCTCCCGCATCCTCCAGGTCATTTGTAGGAATCTTGAGCATCCTAGAACCTTAGACAATCTCCCACATCCTCCAGGTCATTTGTAGGAAACCACTTAATAATCTGTTGTAATTTAGAACTGATTTTTGTGCCTTTCAGCGTTGTATTGTGTTCATTTGTGGAAAAAGAAAGCCTCACTGACACTTAACTGATGGCTAAATCAAAAAGATTTAAATTAAAAGGCATCAATAAGAAACCACTTCGAATATGCTAAGAGATCATTGTGGCTTTCTACGGGATGATGAAAAGTGTTCTTTCTACAGCCTTTGGGGGTCTAATCATCCATTTTCTCATCCCTGAAATGGATTTTTTTTAAAGAATTAATACACAGTGTGATTGCTCCCTTTCTAACACTGTCTCTTTGTTTTTTGTTTTTCTCACTAATTTGACAGGATACAATCATCGCTTTGGAGTGCCTGACCGAATATTCCATCCTTATTAGACGGCTTGAGCTGGACATGAACATCAAAGCGTCTTATAAGTCTCGTGGAGATTTCCACACGTACAGGCTCACAAGTAGCAATTACATCGGCAAGCCTGTGGATGTGAGTTAATGGATCGGGAAGGGATGGACGGGAGGCCAAAGAGAGCAGATATTTGAAGTGGCTTTTGATCTAGTTGGTCCATTGGCCAAGACGTATTTTGTGGGCTTCAAGCCAGTCAAGGGCCAACAGGACCAGGTGGACCAGATTCTAACAAAGGCAAGATGAATCCCTGGATGGTGGCTGATGGGAACAATCACAAAGTTCAGAAGGAGGGAGTTTCCCATTTAAAAAAAAAATCAACAATGGTCCCATTATAACTCTTCCTGATTTTCAAGAGGGACATCTATTCCCCAGCCATTTTCAAGGTGGTCTACTTGAAGCTAAGTCGCTTTGGACTTGGAAATGAAACTGGTCTCCAACTAAACTATTTGCAAGTCAAAGACTCTGCCTCCAAAATAGCTGTCGTACTTGACGGTTTCTTCTAGTGTGGGAAGCAAAGTTTTGGCAAAGTTGGGAATACCACATGCTTGGGATCTCCGAAGTTTGGTGGACCATCCCCCAAGTTTATAATCTTTGGTAGGACCCATAGCTTCCACTCAGATAATTGAAAGAACCGAATAAACTAAATCGGAGATGGACTAGGGAAATCCTTTCGTGTCGTGTCACACTCAACATGTTCATTCCTCCTGATCAGCCATCTTTCTTCTTTTCCTTCTCCACCTTTTCATCCCCTTGCCTCACATCTCAGCTTTCCTTTGATCCAGGGAAATCTCACAGGTCATGATAAACCAGGATTCTAACGAAACCCAGATCTGTGCCTCAAGCAGCTGAAAATATCCAGGCCAAGTTTATGACAAGCTTAACAAGAACTTTCTAGAGCAGCCATGGGGATTAATGTCATTTTTTGCCGTTTCTTTGCAAATTCAGGCATCCTTGAGTGACGATATAGAAGTACGCACGGGAAGCAACACTGGAACAGCCGCTGTGACTGTAAGTGAACAAAGCGTCTTCATTTACAACTGGTCCTCAACTTACAACCGTTCTGCTTAGTGACCGTTCAAATTTATTTATTTATTTAGCACATGGCTGACCGTTCAAAGTTACAACGGCATTGAAAAAAGTAACTTAGGACAGCGTTTCACAATTACGACCGTTGCAGCCTCCCCGTGGTCACGTGATCCAAATTCAGACGCTTGGCAACTGACTCGTATTTATGACGGTTGCTATTTCCTGAAGTCACGCGATCCCTTTTTGCCACCTTCTGACAGGCAAAGTCAATGGGAGAAGGGCAGATTCACTTAACAACCGCGTTAAGTGCAGTGATTCACTTAACAACGTGGCAAGGAAGGTTGTAAAATGAGGCAAAACTCACTTCACAAGTGTCTCACTTAGCGACAGAAAGCATGGGCTGGGCTGTGATTGTAAATTGCGGACTAGCTATATATTTACATTGGGATGACCCAAAAGGTGAAACGGTATCAGGAACCCCAAATGTCTAAATGAATAGAAATTAAGAATGTTATACTGTATTATTAATTAGTTGAAGTAAGATGGTGAGAAATAATATATTCAAATAGATAAAACGTGTATCTTGAACATTAGATTTTGTGATGAATTGTGATAAAGGGAACTTGGGTTATTTAAAACCTGGAAACTATAAATATTAAATGTTAATTTTAAATATTAACGGGAAACTAAATATTGGGAAAAACCAATTAGGACATTGATTGTCTATAAAGACTGAATGTTAGAATAACCAGGATACGTGTAAGCTAAAAATTATTGATAAATGTAAGAATGTTATTTTTATTTAATCGATATAATAAGAATTGTATTAGTTTAAAACAGGAGACAGTAAACACTAAGGGGAAAAGAAAGGAAATATTTAATGGGATAGTTTGAGACTCGTACCGAAGATAATTGTATGTCATCGAATTATTGATTAACTCAGCCGCCATGTTGCTTTTTAAATATAAAACTAGAAAATCAATAAAACATTTTCTAAAAAGGAACCCCCCAAAGGTCTAAATATACACACCAAATTGTAACCCGTCATAAATCCAGCTTGACCGATGGACGTGAGACCATGAACAATAAAATGATCTGGTTGGGAGACATACCTATTTGGCTACGAAACTATGATCCATCAGGGTTTGTTTTTTTTGGAGTTTTGAACCCAGAGTTTTCCCACGAAGTTGGCTAGAAACGTACCATCCAAGATGGATTATCTTCACAAATTTTAATCTTTGCCTTATACCTATTCTATAACGGTAACTAGAATCTGGTTGGTGGGTTCAAAGGCTCTGAATTAATCTGGATTTCCTCTTTATTTCCCATATTTACAGCTGAGGAGCGTGTATTATGTAAGCAGCATTTCTGAGGACACTTGTGACTTTCAGCTGAAGATTGATGTCACGCTAGATGGTGAGGAACTCGTTTCTTTTTTTAAAAAAAATATTAAACTAGAGAAAAGACTACTCAAAGGACCTCTGTAAGCTAAAATCTCAGTGCTGCTTGACTGGCAAGTACTTCTGCAAACAATTCCTTCCTGAAAGCCCCCCCCCCTCGCCCCCAATTTTTCAGTCTGGGTGGTGGCAAAAATGCACCTCTTTCCTCTGGATAGGTGGAGCGGTTGGCTTTGCCCCACTTCATTCATGCTCTGCTGGATAATATAATCCTGAAAATTCTTCTTTTGAAAAACAACCTTTTTTTTTTGTTTTTGCTTGTGCAGAAAAGAAGTACTATCTGTCCTTCAATGAAATCCGGCTTTTGGTCGCCTGCGCAAAGTAGGTCTGAATAATTCGAGACTTTGTTGGGTGTCAGAAAAAAAAATAGGAAGAAGATTCCTTTACTTTGAATAGATCCATCCATCCATCCATCCATCCATCCATCCATCCATCCATCCAACTATCTATCTATCTATCTATCTATCTATCTATCTATCTATCTATCTATCTATCTATCTATCTATCTATCTATCTATCTATCTATCTATCTATCATCCATCTATCCGTATCTATCTATCTATCTATCTATCTATCTATCTATCTATCTATCTATCTATCTATCTATCTATCTATCTATCTATCTATCTATCTATCTATCTATCTATCTACTATCCGTCTATCCATGTCTATCTCCTATCTATCTATCTATCTATCTATCTATCTATCTATCTATCTATCTATCTATCTATCTATCTATCTATCTATCTATCTATCTA